CCCCCGTAAGCACTTTATTCTGTTTCGTATTAATCTGCGTTTCACTCCACTGAAACTTAATCTATAAAAAGTACTACTTACAGCTGTTCAATTTGTTCAAACTCTTTCCCATCATCTGTGTAACAAAAGAAGAATATACATATTGAGACTGGTTAATTATTCTTAGGGGCACATACGTTCAACACAGCCCCCCGCCCCCGGGTTAAGAACGCGCGTGCTGTGTCCCCGCTTTGCAGTGAAAGCGAGACGAGACCTTGGGCCGCCGCACCTCGGCCCGTCCTCGACTCCTGCTCTGCACGCCTCGCCGAAAGCCTCCATCAAGCCTAGTCTAGCCTAGTGCCTCGAATTTTAAAAACAGGATGGATTGATAGGTCAAGTACAAAATTACTGACGTTATTAAAAATTCGGTACGAAATCAGGAAAGAATACAGAATTTAAGATAAATTATCTTTGGGGGCGGACTATGGGTTTCTCAAACCGTAGCCCACCAGGCGTAGGCTACAAAAATGGGAAAATGACTGGACACTGTCTGTTCTATGAGAACTCTAGAATGTTTGATAAAATGATGTGGAGCCCGGCCAGGTGTGTCTCAACGGTTGAGTGTCCACCTAGGATCCAGCCGATCAGGGTTCGATTCCCAGTCAGGGCACAGGCCCGGGTTGTGGGCTTGATCCCCAGTCGGGCTTGCAGGAGGCGGCCGATCAATGACTCTCTCATCATTGATGTTTCTGTCTCTCTCTCCCTCTCCCTTCCTCTCTCTGAAATCAATAAAGATATATTTTTAATAATAATAATAATAATAAAAATAATGTTAAATGAGCCATCGAAGTGAAAAAGTAATTGTCTGTCTTTGGAATTCTTTATATGAAGCTACCACAGAATTTTCCAATGTTCCAGCACCAAAGCACACGTCACTTAATTGGTGTGCAGGTGAAGTAACACCAAAGAAAGGGGGAAGGGAAGATGCACTTTAATACTAAAATATTTCAGTAAGTTCCAACAGGAAGACCATCAGTGCAAGCTCCGAGCTCACTGTCACCACTGGCATTAACCTAAATATCACTTTCCAAACGACAAGAACCAGATTCCCCCACACCCCAAAACTCGAACGCCCCTGTAACGTGTAACCCAGCACGAGACCGTTACCTAAGCAAATGCGCCCTACCTGGACGTTCCTTCTTCTTTTGTGTGTACATCTCACAAAGCAGAATAACTGCGACCAGCAGAAGCGCCTCGGCGGCGATGGCGAGGAAGGGCTTGAGGGGCACCAGGTAGCTGAGCACGACCAGCTCGACGCGGTCCTCGCTGGCGCCCAGGTGGAAGAGGGCTCGGCACCGGTAGGCGCCCTGGTCTTCCTCCGACAGCTGCGTGATCTTCAGCCTTGTCTCATTAGCGTGCGTCCCGTTGATCACATACTTTCCGCTCGTCTGACCGGCAAGAGGGACCTACGACAAGGAGACATCACAATCCAGCCCCAGCGTGCGGCACAGAAGACGCGCGTCCTCGGTCATCCGGTTCGGAGCAGGAGCCCTAAGGCGGCGCCAAGGGCACCGCTCACCAGCGAAAGGCGTGTTAGCGCCTGTGAGCAGTTACACGAACGGGCCCGTGTCCTGTCGGAGGTGCATCTCCGGGAGGCGGCGGCCAAGGGGCCGGCGAGGCCTCTGCTCTCAGCGCTTGGCCCTGAACGTCTGAAACTGCAGCGTGCGGGTCATCGTGGGCAGGTGTCATACGAGAAAAGCCGTCTGGGTTTCACATTCTAACTCCCGACAAGCTGGTCAAAGCGCTTTCCCCTTCACAAGCCCAGGCGAACATTAAACCAACTATTAACCTTTAAAAGACGGCATTTAGAATCCGTCAGCATTTAAATTCAGCCAGCGGGACCCACTCCTTGCCGGGAACTGAAGTTCCCTTTCAGCGGATAAAGGTTCATGAATCTGCTAAATCTGATCATTCCTATGAGGGAGGGTCCCTGGCTCCCGACACTGGGAGTTCCTCCGGCTGGGGACCGAAGATGAAACCTTCAGGCCTTGAAAGATGACGCGGAGGGACCGGCGGGGTCCCGGGGAGGCTGGTGTGGGCCGTGGTCTCCCCACTCTCCGTCTTTTCATATCTGAGTGTCTCTCTCGCAGGCAAGCTGGCTCCTGAGATTCACTGGGTTTTTCTCAGCTGCTCAAGAGCCATACTGAGCTATTTGGGGGCTTATTTAATTCATTTAAATTCAATTTCATTCTCAGGCCATTCGATGCCTTCACGGCTCTATCACTCAACCGGGCTGCTTAATAGATGCCCATCTGCACACAAATGTTCTCGGGGGTTATCTGATGAACTGTCTGTGAGTTTATTATTGGGCCCCAAAATTATAGCAACCCGGCTCCCGTGCACTCAGCACTGCCCGTAATGCTGTTACAAATGCGTCCTCTCTAGCGGGGCTGATGAATCTCAGCACCACGTGAGCGACGGGCATCCCGGGCGACTCTGATGTGGGTGCCTGGTCTACAGTTTGAAAAGACACTCGACCTAAAGTTTTGACCTGCCCCCCCCTTCCCTAAACTTGTCTCACATCCTAACATGACCCACGCTTAGGGCCAAATTGAGAGAAAATGAGAAGAGCAACTGGAGAGAAACACAGACTAAAAGTTTAATATAATGAGATTTAGGGCATTTTTGCCAATATCTCACACACATAAATAAATGAGACCCTGTATTTCCAATATCACAATTTTCACATATTTACATGATTTTAAAAAATATTTACGTACACAAAATGATCACCTTTCCTAATCAGCAATAAGAAGCGAAGCAGAGATGTTAATGGCTTACGTCTATTCCTAAGGGACTTGGAGCTGTTTCTTTGAAAAATGCAACCAGTGTTATCGCAGAATCAGCCCCCCTCCCGGCCTCCTTCAGCCGTCTCGGCAGCACCCCCTTTGTCGAAGAAGGAACTTGAGATTTCACTGTAAGATCTACACTGTCACGTACTGTTCCTTCTAGAATTACAGCTACAGCCTTTGCAGAATTTAATTTCAGCGATCACTAGCAGCTGGTGGCCCCTGCAGGATAATTTCCTAAATTTCCGTGCTATTAGAGGCTATCTGCGAGGAAGAGTGAGAGCCAGAAGTGACTGCTTGAATGCTCATGTTATTCTTGAAATCAGGCCTTGGAATATCCCTTAATTCCTTAATAGGAATTCCCAGCACTTGGCTTCCCTTAAGTCTCTGGAAAGCCAAAGGAGGCCAATGGGAGTTACTAGAAGAGCCTAAGACCTAAGTTCATTCTTTTACCAAATGCGGCCACTGTATCGCGTTCTGTCGCAAGGGTCCCCAGAGACAGGCGCAGGAAAAGAAGTCTGCCTCGTTTTTCTGGTTACTTTTCGTGAAATAATAAGAAAAAAAGAATCTTTTCTCGTTGGGGTTATTCATAAAGTCACCAACTGAAAATGAATTACAGCTTCCTTTCAAAGACTTTAAATACGTGGCTAAATCTCAAAAACAAAGCGCCAGCTAATGAACCCTTAAGGATACCTTCAGATGTGTAATAAGCTAAAAACATCAAATGACAACCGCATTTGTCACATTGTGTCTTTGTGAATACGTACTAAAGAAAAAGACACAGACCTGTAAACAGCCCCAGGACTCCTGAGTCTGCTATAATCTTACTACGTAGGAAATAAACGTTATTTTTGTCTTCTTCAAATGAAAGCAAGCAATGGGTCTTACCTGTGCACTCCCATTGCTACTGTACCAGGTCCAGTTTAAGGGAAAACAACCTTGGCATTTACATATCAAGACGGTGGAATCCCCGACGTAAGTGACCAATGGTTTGTTTTTTCCATGAAGTTCAGGGACTAAGGAAAACGCAGAGAAACGCCTGTTACTGAAAGAGTTTGACTATGGTGGACGTGTGCAAGTTGAGGTCCATTTCTTTCATTTTCTCATTAATATGAGAAAGACCCACCCACGTTAGCTCTGAGAGGCCTCCGCTAAAGACGCACAGATTAAGCAGGAATCCGAGCTTGGCTAAAACAGAGATTCTTCTATGAAGCCGCCGTTTCCTCCAACCGCAGAAGGGGCGGAGCCAGGCTGGGTGCCACCTGCAGAGCCACGGCGGGTGCATGGTGGGTGCTGCTTTTTACCAACGCAGCTGGGGCGCAGCTACTTCTGGAGCCGGGCTAGAGGCGCCTAAGACAGTCGCCGCTCTGAGGGCCGACTCTGCACCCGGCTGTGCTGGGCAGGAGCCGGGGGGCTCCTGCTCCCCCAGCCTGCGGGTCCCCCGGGCCTCTCTCCCACTCCTCCATCTCAGCCTGCGCCTTTCTGGAAATAAGTTAGGTCTTGATTTAGCAGGAAAATGTGTTGAAATATGATCAAAACATTGAGGTTGACTCAGGCTAAGAAGCAAAAGTAGAAGGAAAGCAGTGTTTGGGGGAAACACAGTAGAAAAATACCCTTTTTCAGTAGGAGTCTAGGAGGCACAGGCCTGGGGAGCATAGCTAATAGCTGGAAGGGGCTTTTCAAGAAAATCTGGGTATTTTATGAGGCTCGGGGGAGAGACGCACTGCTGTGCTACTAAACCGTCTCAAGTAAATGTTAAGATCAGGATACAGACTGCAGATAAGTGGCAGGGAAACAAAACCAAAGTTCTGCTTTCTTTTTATCTCTTCTGTGCTTTTTTTTTTTTTTTACTGTCCCTAGATTAATGGCCAAGGTGACAGTCACCGCCGGCTGATAGCAGCAGCGTGGGCCTAAATTATAAAATGCACTGGGCCTGGGGGAACATAGCTTGTTTGAACGGCTCCAGAGGTCACACGTGGTCCTGGCTGCTGCTTCCGTTGGGAAATATTTACGAGCAGGTCAGGGAAATAGCATCCTAATGGGTCCTGTTGACCTCTTGGAACATTGGATCAACCAGGACACGGGACAGTCTTGGGGCTGCAAGAACCCATTTCCAAAGATGGTGAAGTTGCCGATTCAGACTAATCTCTAAGAAAGTGGGGTCCAGGATCCACCCAGTGGAAGCGAAAGCCCGATGGAGCCACAAGGCTAGAGATTTCTATCTGCATTTCCATGGAGTAGAGAAAAAGCATTTGGGGCTCAAGGATATTGGCGTATTTTCAAATTAGGAAAAAGATTCTTCCTCGTGGTCAAAGACAGCTTAACTCCAACACCGGGGTTTGAAGCTGAAGTCCCAGCCGATTCTATTACGCACCCCTTCCGTACCGGGACCCCTTGGGGACCTCCCGATGAGGACAGATGGCCCGGCCAAGGCGGGTGTCATAGCACTAGGTACATTCCAGATCTCACCGCGGTGTCCCAGAAGGTCCATGTCCTATCGCTTGTCCCTTACCAACTAAATCTCTGCATCTTCCTACTGAGGGGCTTTAACACAGATGAGCAGGGTAGAAGTTTCCAGCAACTGCCTCAGAATATTTGACCCACGACGGAGAAACCCCCGTAGACCATCGCTCGTCTTTCCTGGGCGAAATGCAATCACGACATTTGCTGTCTCCCCTGCGACTGGCATCAGCAGCCAGACCAACCACAGCGTCAGCAGGGTTTTTGCACCATACTGAGCAGTGACGCGGGCCTTTCACCATCTTCAGCAATAAATCAGCCGGCTCCCCCGCAGGCAGGGGCAGGGAGGTGCTGACGAATCATTCTGACAACTCAGGCTCAGGCTCTGTCGCTGACTCACAGAGTAACAGAATTTTTTTTTTGGCTCAATTTAAAACAGACGATAAAGCAGGCTTTTCATCCACCCTCAACTGGAGTGATGCTAAGGAAAGATAATCCCTTTTCTTAGGAGCAACCATAAGCAACCCATGTGGAGAAAGCATAATAGGACATTGATAAAAATATAATCTTCTGTAAACCGTACAGACCTAATTAAATAACTACATGTGAGTTGTTCCGCAGATGCCAAACATCTTTAAATGGTAATCACATGAAGTTATTTCTCCAAACAATATTAATTTAGATGAATTACAGAGAATTATTATTTTACCAAAATTAAAAAGATCTAGTAGGGCTCAACTTACTAATTTTATAAGTATCTTCATGATATAGTACATACTTAAAAGCCACATTAATGTTAAGTGGGCAGTAAAAACAGATAAACTGAACTAAACTGCTTCAAGAAAACTGTTGTTGTTTTTTTAAAGTAAATATTCACTGGCAGTTTTCTCCAGCACTTGATTTCAAATCCAGGCTTCGTGTTGGGGCTCCAGCCAGCACCGGCCCCGTCATCTCAGAACAGACAGGAGCTCCGGGGGCCTCTCCAAGGCCACTTGGCATCCAACCTCTTGGTCTTTGACAGGCACAATGCTCCCGTTAGCATCAGAGGTAAGAACAACCACGTCCAAATAATACTTTGGGTCATTTGTTCCAAGAGAGCTCATGAGAAAAATGTGGTATGTTCAGCATTTAAGCTTTGAACAGGCATGACTAGTGCCTAGGAAACAGAGCCCTTTAGAAGGGGGGGAAAGCAATTTTTTGTAGTTGAATTTCCTGGACTCACATAAAGCCTCAAGATCTGATGAGCATTTCCTTAAAACCCACAGGTCTTTACATATTTAAAAGAGGCTCGATGACCTGTTTACTAGGACTGTGTGTGCTCGTGTTCAGTATCCTTGCAACTCATTGGAGGGAGCGAGGC